CTTGAGCCCTTGACTTTTGCTTATGGCTTATATTATTCAATTTGGGCAAATTATTGGAAAACTATGGAGTACTCGTTGATACAAGAAATTTATTTTAATGTTATTATTGAATACTTGAATATTTCAAACAAATCAAAAATATTATGAAGTATCAATACTTTTCTTACTTTATAAAGACAAACAATTTCTAGAATCAACATTTTTCTTAATGAATATAAAAAAAATAATTTTTTTCTTTTTATTAATAATAAAAACAGTTATTTATTATTATTTTATTTATTTATTTAATTTTATATCTTATTTAGTTTAATTAACAATTAGCTCAAACATTAACCGTTGGCATATTCCCCATATAGGGTACAAGATATTCGGTATTTTTTTAATGATGTAGATTTTTTTTGAAATTAACTTAACACATAATTTAAAAACTATTTTTACGAACTATTTTATCAATATATTCTCTGCATTATTTGGAAGCACATATATTTTTTGATTGCAATTACATAAATATTTATTTAATGTTAATTTGTTTATTTATTTAATCAATTTTCTCATATTAATTATAATTTTTATTTAGTTTGATTTACAATTAGCTCACATATTGTCCCTTCACTTATTTGCAACTTGCTTATAGGGTGCAATATATTCGAGCTGCTGTCGGAGTGCCTGCGGCTGTTTATTTTCATTAATTGTTCTCATGAGGAAAACACAACAGCAACAACAACAGCAACAACAACAACAACAGCAACCAACAACATGCTCAGTCGAAGCTGTTGGCATGAAAAGTGTGACAAAGTGTTACGCATGCAAAGACGGCGTCGGCAAAAGATACATTTTCCATGTTGCAGTTGTTGTTGTTGTTGTTGTTGTTGTTGTTGTTGTTGTTGTTGTTGCTGTTGCTGTTGCTGTTGCTGTTGCTGTTGCACTGCTTAACTTGTTGGCTGGTTCAGTTGTCCGAGCCGCTGCCCGCTGCGTGAATGATGGACTTTGTCTTTGTCTCCTGCATCTGCCAGCTCTCTGATATGGCAGCGAGTTGTTGCGCCTCACTGTTGCATCTGTGGCGCGTCCGTGTCGCATGCGAGTTGCATGTTTGTATCTATGTAGCTGCCAGATACTTTTACTGCACGTCTTTTGCATTTTGACTAATGACGCCGCCTCTCAAGGCGTTTCTCCAATTTCTTTTTCTGTTAATAACCAGAAACAACAACAACATCAACACAGCCAAATACCAATTCTTGTTGCTGTTAATTGTTGTTTGGCCTTTTGCTGTTGCTTGGACGCTTTTTGCCCAAGGTTATTGTGTGTGTGATATAAAATCTTAGAGCTCTTTATGCAAATCTGTTGCTGCCTGTCATTGCATAAGACATCATATAACAACAACAATAACAACAATAAAAAAATGCTATGTACATAAAATAATAGCCAAAAACAACAGATTGCATTTATTTTTGGAGCCGCTAAGTAGCCAAGTCGATAAGGTCGTAACTTAATCCTCAATGAGGGGTCTTCGTAAATACCTAAAAGCAACAATAAACACACATACACACACACACACACACTTACACACAACGTGCCCGAAGATGCATTGAAATTTGTCTGTCTCGGAGTGTGGGTCAGCGCCAAGATCGGGCTCCACTTGCCAAGCCAAACAAATTGGCGCCCATCTATCGAATTGTTAACACTCAAAGAGCAGAACCCCAAATGAAACTGTGCGGAACCAGTCGGACACACAACAGCAACCGGTTTGGCAAAACTTAATTAAAATAATATCAACATAACAATTTTTATTTTATTTTTGTTGTTGCCGTTGCCGTTGTTGTTGTTGTTTTTGTTGTTGCTCGTACCTTTCTTTCTTCCTCATCGAGCTCATGAGGCTCGAAGCTGTGTGCCAATATTCATTCATGGCAAAAATCTTGAACGCGACTCGATCCGTCTAAGGCGACTAAGACGGCGACTACTATACGAAAATGCTATGCAAAATTATGCAGAGTGAAAGAAACGGGCAACAGACATACAAGATTTACTATACATATAACTTTATATGTGTTTTATACAGTGTTAACTAACTAAGGCGAACTTGGTTAAGACAAAGAAGGAAGCTATCAAATAATATTCTCCAAAAGAATACAGTTTTATTTGCTGCGGTTTTCAATTTAATAGTTTTTAAAACTTGAATACAGTAGACACTACATACATTATTATTATTATTATTATTATTATTTTCTGTAGATTCCAAAAGAATACAGTTTTATTTGCTGCGGTTTTCAATTTAATAGTTTTTAAAACTTGAATACAGTAGACACTATATACATTATTATTATTATTATTATTATTATTTTCTGTAGATTTCACTCTAATCGCTTTAAAATTTTCAATACTGTGTATACAGACTCTAGTCAAAGGCAGCAAAATAAAGCTTTCCAATGCATATTTATTCTCATATTTGGACACAATGTAATCGAATATTTGCAAAATATACATTATTTCGCTAACTAAAGCAATTGGCTGCTTATAATTCGCAACTAGTTCAAGCTTCGCTTAATGCTAGGGCTGGCTGGACTTAGGTTTCGTGGGGACAGTCGGCTTGCACGAGATGCAGAAAAACATTACCTTTTTTCCTAGTTGGCAAGCAGCAGCACTTGGCCAAGATGGACTGTAGTAGGCCAGCTTTAAATGTAAATGTCTGCGGCACGAACAGCCGCAGCAACAACTACAGCGACAACAACTTGAACGTTCGCAGCTTCGCTTCGATTTTTTTTTGTTGTATTTTTGAAGGGAGTGTCAATTGTTAGCCAAGTTATTAAGCGCACAAGAAGAAGCTGATGCCGTAGCTGGCCAAGATCAGAGCACAGATTGAGAAGGCAGCCGACGGACCAGTTCGACTCAGTTCAGTTGAGCTGATGCCCCGCAAAGCGAAAAAATAAAAATAAAATAAAAACAAACACCGTTCGAGATGTGAATGATTCATGTGGCACTCGTATTCAGATACAAATCTTTGATCGACTGTAAAAATTATTGACTGCGGCGCATAATTTTATGAATGAATGAAACAACAACAAAAGGCAGTCACAGCAGAAAAAAAAAATACACAGCACGCGCTACCATTGTAGCTGTAGATGTATCTGTATCTGTAGCTCTGGCTGTGGCTGTAGCTTTGTGTATGTGTGCGTATCTTGAATGTAATTTCACTGCTGCTTCGCTCGCTCGCTGCTTGTCTCGTCTCGAGTGCACTTTGCCACGGAAATTATGCGTGAAATCAAATGTAAATAAAAAAGCAAAAGTGCCAAAAGAGCTCCAACCAGCTGGAGACGAGAGGCAGTCCCGGCTTTTGGGTTAGCAATTGGTGGCAACTGTCTGTCGGCTTCGCGGCGGGCACGGTAGTTATTTTGGCGCATAGCTGCCTGTCAACACGAGTGCACTTGTAATGCAAATCAACGCGGTCAAGTCGAGCCGCGACGCACTCAAAGATGACGCCACAATCGCCACAAGATTCACTCTCAGATGCCCGCGCAGGCTGGAGCTGGAAATGTTTTTGGCGTCCGTGTCGCCAGTCAAATCCATGCTGTTTGCCAAATTATAAGCCAAGTTTATGGCATATGAGCGGCTTTTAATTGCGCTTGCGCAACTATTTGCTGCTTAGCTTTTTGCGTTGACCATTGCGTAAGGTCAACGCTTGACCCGATGCATTGTGACCCAGTTGCCGGAGGTGGGCAGCTGTGGGAAAGCCACATGTTCTACTTCTCACTGTCCACTTAAGCGTTTTTTAATCGATTTTAATTTAATTGCTTAGCTGCCGTGGCGTGGGCGCAGTTCCAGCTGCTAAAAACGAAAGTCTTACAACAACCTTAACAACAACAACAACAACAGCAACAGCGGCGACAAGATGCGACAGTTTGTGGCAAATTAAATTGTTTTGTGGTTCATAAATTGTTGTCAACGTCTGCGTGTTATGCAATTGAACAGCTGTCATGGCAAATCAATTAAAATTGTGGCTAAAAAGCGACCTGAAATTTATAGTCGCACGATTTTCGATGTCGACACCACCCGCTGCGCCAGACTCTAATATTGCGTTTTGTTTTTTTTTTTTACTTTTTTATGTGCCCCAAAACGCACAGTTCATAACGAATTGAAACAGGCGACAAGTTGTATGTAAACCGTTCGGTTTATTCGTCTAATTAAGCTGAAGCTGTGAAAATTGCAATTAATTGAGCAATCAGTAAAATTGTGTTAGATTTGTAAAGCTCACTTAAACGATAGTTTAGCTAATTTATAAACAATATAAAATACTAAGAGTATTTTCGAATTGCCCAGAGATAGATACCTGCGCAAATATATAAATAAAGATGTATATTGTATATATACATACATATGTTTGTATATACACATATATTTTTTTCTATACCCCAGGGATCTCGATCTCATGATATTCTTTTAAGCAATTAACTTAAGATATGAGCGTTTTTCTTGTGATCATGGAAATTCCCTTTCTTATATATATATATATATATATATATATATATATTTATTTTATTTTTAAATGCACACGATTTCTTATACATTTTTTAATTAGCTTAAGATTTTATTGCTTAACGTAAAAGATAAAAAAAGTACAATAAATCGTGAAAATATATCAATTCTCAACTAACAAAAAATCCACAAGAATTTTTTAGTCCACACATTTAAAAAAAAAAAAAACACAATTATTGATTCCGACAGATTATATATAAAAAAAATCGTATAATAATATAAAAATATATTTTTGAAATTTTAGTTTAAAAGCTTTTTATATTTTTTAAATATTATATATTAATTTATTGTATTTATGTAAATTTATTTGTTTGAACATTTTTTTAAATTGATTTAAGATCCATTAATTTTTTTTAAAATGCAAAGAACCCTGAATATATAATAATAATAATGAATATATATAATATGTATAAAAATGCCTTATAAAATTTCTCCTATTAATCAAATACATTTCTCTATTTGTCTTTTTTTAGGCGGCGTTGCCCCTGGAACTCCATCAGCGGCCATGATCATGGAAGGGCTTGAAACCCTGGTGGCGCCAACGCATCACGCATTCCTGCTCACCGAAACGGCCGCTGCGGCCCATTTCAATGTGCTGAGCTTTGACACGTGCCTGTTTAAGACCAGCACGGCGCAGAGCAGCAGCCCCTCGGCAGCCAGTTACCTGAGCGCCGCACAGTTTGGCGGTGGCAGCGCCTTAGGCGCCGCCAGCAGCAGCTCAACTGTTGCCAGCAGCAGCGGACAAACGTTGCTACACTACACGACAGCGGCCAGTCACAACCACAACAACAACAACAGCAACAACAATAGCAACAACAACAACTCGGTGCTGCGAGCACGCAATCAGACAGCCACACCCACACAGGGCGGCAGTCCAGGCAACGTGGCAGCGCAGCCAATTGCCGGCAGCGCAGCAGCCGCCAGCAGCGGACGCAGCTCGGCTTCACATCTCAGCCTGCTGAACACCAGCCAACAGAGTCCCGTAACGGCCACAGAGCACGGCGTCGCCGTTGAGGCCAAGCAGCTGATTGAGGCCTTGCCCGGCGATCTTAACACGCCGGTAACCACCTCCAGCGATATACCCTCATTCTTTGGGCCATCCACAGTGGTGGAACCACCGCCAATTACTGGTAAGTACTGCACTTAACAAGTGGGCGACATTCTAACTTAAATATAGCTACAGATTATGTTATGGTATAGCTTATGTGCTTATGCTTAATATGTTTAAGTATAAACTGAACTACATTTACATAGATCATATTTGAGGACCATTTACCAAATTTCATAGCGACACCTTTGTTGGAAGCCCAATTCGCATCTATGTGATATGGTTAAGCTGCAGATGAGCTATATGCTAATGGACCTTGTCAGAAGTCTGTGTACGAAATGCTATGTCACATTGCAGAAATATTATGTGCAACCATATCATATAGTGTTCTGATTAAAGGTCGCATAGGTACAAAGAAAAGATGATAAGCTAAAAAGGCAACACGTGCACTTAGAGCACCTTATACCTATGCTTGCATAGGTCGGAAATACAGTTCTTATGATGAATGCAGGACAAACAGTTTGACATAGCTGGCACAGCCTAATCGTAAGGGTATGAAGTGAAACACTGCGATATGCGCGTACTTTTGCTTTTGGTGTTTCTTTATCTGAGCGCTGCTAATGGATGCAGCTGCCACATGCTGCAGTTGCAGTCTCCAAAAAGACTCCACAGACTCTAAATATGCAACTAATCCGTTGTCAGGCTTAAGTCGCTGCATAAATCAGCCTCAGCCGGGTCCAGAAAGCTATCCAGCAACTGCAGTCTTTAGTTTGTGCTCTCGCTCCCTCCCTCCCCCTCTCTCTCTCTCTCTCTCTCTCTGTCTCTTTGTAACACACTCTTATTTGTCTCTTTTTTAAACACTCATTCTGCGCAGAAAACAAGTTCAAAATCAAAAGGTAAACATTCAAATTTCAAGTACCAATTTTATTAAAAAATTTTGTTTAGTGATTTCTTTACTTAATTATGGACCATGTTAAGAGTCGCTGAAGAGCTTGACATATATATGTATATACATGTGTATGCGTATTTTTTCAATTTTATTTTTTGCCTCGCATTAATAAAAATTTTGACATTTAATGGCTATATCTCTATATGGGCTCATAAATATACGTAGTCATAAAATTACTTTTTATTAATTGCAAATAAATTCAATTGCATTGCAGAGAGAAAACTTAATAGAGCAAGAGAGAAAGAGAGTGAAGTCTTCTAAGACTGAACAATGAAAAAAGCACTTAATTAATCAACAAAACAACAACAAGAATAATAATAATACATAATAGCAACAACAACAATGTGTTGTCGGCACATGTATTAAACATTTCCGTTCAGTGTCAATGTTTCGAGCGCAATTTGCTCGGCTACAGATACGACGCCAGAGTCCAGACGATATCAACGATATAATACACATATATAGCTCTGGGCATCACATATGCACAAAATGAAAAGAACAAGAAAAACACACACACACACACACAGGCATTTCTAATTGAATTAAGGCAAAGCAAATAAAGTATACTAGATTTTCCGAGCGCTATCAAAAACAATTGAGTTTAATTGCTCGCGTCATGTTTTTGCAGAGAGCACAAGCTAAGAAACAATACGAAATGCTAGGCCAGATTTTGTTAAACAATTCTTTACCAATTGAAAATGCATAAAATGAGACATAAATATAAAATGTGCATATGCCATGCATTTAGTAGCTGAAATAGCTAAAAATTGGACGCGTCGCGCCAAAAAATGTCACTCATAAATTTGGCGCAGTCGCCTGACAAGCGCTCGGCCCACGCACAGAAAAATGTCAGCGAAAATTCGCAAAAAAAAAAAATAAATAAAGAAGGAATATTAAGCAAATATATCAAACAAAATAAAAATACATTAAAACAATTTGCATGCGCCAGGGGGCTGGGCTTGAGAGGGTGCGCGTATTTCTTTTCTAGTTGGCTGGCGGACAATGATAAAGCAGCTTTTAATCGCTAAACTTGGCAGCCGGCACTGGCATTACTTATGGCCAACTGGATGAGTTATGCATGTGCCATGTGGCATGTAGCATGTAGCATGTAGCAAGTGGCAAGTGGCAAGTGGCAAGAAACAGAGAAAAAAATGCCATTGTCTGCTGTCTCCAAAATAAAGCTGGCCAATTGCGTTTCCGTTGCCAAATAAAATACTTGCGACTGGCATTAATTATGCCTACAATATATGGCATATGTCTAAGGCAATCACCCCTCTTCCTACCCCTTCCTAACCCTCTCCCTGACTGCTGCTGATATCGCTGTAGCAAAAATTCTGTGAATTCAAGCGCATGCCCCGCTCAGTTGGCCCCACTCACCCAGCCCTAGCCGAGATTGATGTCGCAGCACATTAGGCGCAATGCAACTCAATCAATACCCAAAGCCAACGGCTGTGGCATTAATGACTGCGACAATGATCATCATGATGTGCCCCGGCAAGAAAAATACAACAAAAACAGTCCAGCAAAAGTCTGTCCAAACGGGCCTGGATGCGAGCCCAGCGGTAGCCGCGTAATTAGTCTTCTGGCCGACACTTTTGACTGGCTAGAGATGGTCGCGTGACAAGACAATCATGAGCAGCACGCTGGCTAAAGCTTACGTATATAGTAAGTTTTAACAACTCTTACTTGCCCTGAAAGTCTTAGAAGTATACTTATATACTATTTTGTTTTTAATTTTCTTTATAAGTTTTCTTTGTCATTTTATATATTACAACCCAAAGATCTAGAGTAACATAATTGTAATCAATGTTATTTTCCAACACTGTCTTTGTGAGGAAAATATAAACCTTTTATTAGAGCACAATGATCCAAATTACATTGGAGTATCCCAATACTTCATTTACGAAAAAAATATATGTTTCAGCCTTTCAATATACATCCCCCTTGGTCATTTCATATGACGTTTCTCAACACTGGTAATGAGTTTGTTGTTCTCGTGTTTCAGCACGTAAATTGCTTCACGTGAGTGGCTGCCACCACTTGGTGCAACTCCGCAGCAACTTCAACGACAACGATGAGCGATGATGCGACCTCCCGTGTTGTTCGATTTCCGCGAAATCAAAGCGCGCCCAGCTGCAAAAGCAGCCCATATAACACTTACTTCAATGCCAGGACCGTTCAAGCGAACTGTGATTGATATCGGCAGAGGCAGGGAGAATACAGAAGAAAAAAAAATGAAAAAAAAAAAAAGAAAAACTGCAGTCTCTATCAAGTTTTAAGCTGAGCTAACAGATAATATCAAGCATTGCTAGAAAACGACTAAAGTTTTTTTCAATTCATTTCCACCTCATTGCAGGCTCAATTGAATCCGAGGATCTGTCGCTGGAGCCTCAGGTTGTGTCGGTTGCCAGTCCTGTGTTGTCCTCGTGCAGCCCATTAAAGGAGGAGCGCAGCACGCCGCCCGCGTTGTCCATTGTCAAGGAAGAATCAAGTAATAATAGTTGTAACATGTACCCACTACACAACAACAACAACAACAACAACAGCCACAACACATCATCAACAACAACATCAACAACAGCAACAACAGCAGCCACAGCAACAACAAAACAAACAGCGAGCGATGCCAACAACACAGAAAGCATTGGCTCGCCCGCAGCCACAACAACCACAGCAGCTGGCAGCAGCAGCAACAACACACACTCACAACAACAACAACAACAGCTGCACCACAACAACAACAATAGCCACTGTCAACACAGCCACCAACAACAGCAGCAGCACTTGAGCTCGCCGCAACACCAACAACAATACCAACTACAACAACACCAAATACTACACCAACAACAACAACAGCAACAACAATTACCACACCATCATCATCATCACCACCATCATCACAGTCACCACCAACATCAACACCAACAGCAACATCAGCAACACCAACAGCAGCAACAACAACACCAACAACAGCAACAACAACAACAGCAGCAACAACAGCAACACTATCAACAACATGCACTACAACAACAACACCAACAACAACTGCCTGGCAAAATCTCATATCGCGCCATTTTCACCACGACAGGCAACGCTAACAACAATACAATGAGCGCCGCACAGCAACTACAGCAGCAACAGCAGCAGCAGCAACAACAACAGCAGCAGCAACAACTGGCATCCCCACAGCTGAGCGTGTTGCCCGGCCAAATGTCGCCACCGTCAAATAGCTTGGGCAACAGCTGGGGCCTGCCCAGTCCGGACAAGTCGCTCTTCCAGCCGCCCATGTTCAGCCTGCCCGCCCACTACGCCGTGCAACAGCAGCAGCAGCAACAACAGCAAACAGCCGCGGCCACGCCCTCGCCCTACGATGATGGACGCGCTGCAGTGGCTGCCGCCCAGCATGCCGAGCTTCTGGGTCTCAGCATGGACTGCACGCCGCTGCTGCTCAAGCAGCCGCCGCCAACCTACAGTGGTGCTACAGTATCAACCGCCGGTTTTGCCAGCCTTGCCGATCTGCAGAACAGCCATGAGCAGCTGCAGCAGCAGCAACAACAGTATGCCGTACGCTCACAGCTATCCGTGGGCACGCCCAAATATCAGTGGCTGGATACGCCTGCCGACTATGCAGCGGCCGCCGCCGTTGTCCAGCAACAGCAGCAACAGCAACAACAGCAGCAGCAACAGCAGACGCTTGTAATGCCTGGGCCAACATCCTCAGCCAGCTCGAGCAACGCAGCGCTGGGCGTGCTCATACCCAAACAGGAGAGCTATCCGGACATGCAGCCCAGCTCAAATGGCACCGGCTACTCTAGCGCCTCGGCTGCTGCTGCCGCTGCAGCTGCTGCTGCCGTGCAGCTGGCCGAATACAGTCCATCCACCAGCAAGGGACACGAGATACTCTCGCAGGTGTACCAGCAAAGCAGCGTGCCGCTCAAGCTGGTGCCCGTCAAGCCCCGCAAATATCCGAATCGGCCCAGCAAGACGCCCGTGCACGAGCGTCCCTATGCGTGCCCAGTGGAGAACTGCGACAGGCGTTTCTCGCGATCCGATGAGCTCACCCGCCACATACGCATACACACCGGCCAGAAGCCATTCCAGTGTCGCATCTGCATGCGCAGCTTCAGTCGCAGCGATCACCTGACCACCCACATACGCACTCACACCGGCGAGAAGCCCTTCAGCTGTGACATCTGCGGCAGGAAGTTCGCGCGCTCCGACGAGAAGAAGCGTCATGCCAAGGTGCATCTAAAGCAGCGCATCAAGAAGGAGTCCAAGCTGAATCGAGAACAGCACCAGCAGCAGCAACAACAGCAGCAACAAGCCGCGGCCGCTGCCGCCGCAGCAGCAGCCGCCGCACAGCAACAGCAATTGCAACAGCAGCAGCAACATCAGCAACAACAACATCAGCAACAGCAACATCAGCAGTATCAGCATCATCATCTGCTGCATGCCGCCGATTTGGCCATCGTGACGTCCAGTGCGACCAGCATGTAGACCGCAGCGAACTCAACGTCTTCGATTGATTCCAGCAGTGGGCGAGAGCTAATGGCCTACGATGAATTGGGCATCAATCTGGACCTGGCCGTGGACATTGATGCGAGCCCGCTGCCCTTTGAGCTAGCGCTGACCTCCGACTATGGAACACTCTCACCGCTAACCAGCCCGCGGCAGTTCAACTATATGCTGGTTAGTCAGGACGCGAGCGAGCTGCTCCTGTGCACTCAGGATTCGCTTAGCCAAGGCCTTTAAATTTGCAACAGATACAATAAAAATTCAATATATCTACCAATTAATATCTATGCAGGAGTCAATCGCTGATGCTGAATTTAAACAAACAAAAAAGGGTATAAACAAAAGTTTAGTAAACTCACGCCACAAATAATTAGCTAAATAGTTACAAAATTGTAGCCGTAATTTTGGGTTGTGCTAGAAGCAACATCTACGCAAGACATATGTGAAACATAGCCTATATCAAATTAACTCCAGCCGCAACAAGCTGAGCAGCCACACGAAAAAAAAAAACATAAACAAATACAAATAAAAAACAAAGTTACTAACCCAACAAATTCTAATAAAAAAATAATAAACTTAAAAAAAACAAAAACAGAAAAAGAAAACGCAAAATAAAAAGAAGATTAATATTTACAAATATTTAACTTATGTCTCTAATACTGTGATCTCATGTGTAATAATTATTAATTTTAATTTCCTATAACTAAAAACAAAAATAATAAAACCAGTTAATGTTTAATACAATTATAATCTTTTTCAACTTTGCATAGCTAATGTTCATTTAAATGAAAACAAAATATAAGTCTAACACAAGAAACTAATTTATTGCAGTTAAGCATTTTAAAGTCTATTATTAACTTATTTAGCATCTTAGTGGTTAGGTTTAACACACACACAGACACACAAACACACCCAGACACACATTGAAAAAGATAAAGAAAATTTAAATTAACTTTAGCATATCATTTTTGTATAAGCATAAGATATAAAAGCAGCCATTTTTGTGCATGTCATAAGTTACAGAACTTAAGAACTTAAGTTGAACGTGTGTTAGGTAAAGGAACTAAAACTTGTGCAACAAATTATAATTATTAATTATAATTAAAAAATATAATTACAATGTGAATGACGTGTTGAAAATGCCCCTTGTACTTCCTTAATTGATTCGAAATCAAAGGCAACAAAAATCTAAATTTAATTTAAAAAAAAAATAAATAAAAAATCGTTTGAATTAAGTTGCTGTATATCACAAACAAATAAGAATATATATAATATATATTTTATTAGTTATTAGTTTTAAATTGCTTTAGTTCTTAGCTGAAACCTTTTTTATAATTAGCTTATTTTATTTTCGAAAATATATAACAATTTTATAAAATCAACAAAATATAATTTACAAAACATATTTATGTTTTTTTTATTTTTATTTCCATTGCCAAACTCTTATCATTTTCAGTAAGGAGCAGCACACCCCACACATACTTATATGAGCAGCTTGCCCGAGTGAGCCCATCTTCTAGCCATAAGAAACTAAAGTATAAGCTAAATAAAGTTAGAAACTAGTTACATGGAACTTTAGTGCCACTTAAGCAACGATAGCTGATTAACGAATGGAACGAATGGTTTAAGCTGCAAATTTGATTTTTAGAAGTACAGTAGAATATGCCTAAATGATACGCGCATATTTTGCATAGCCGCTGATATGAGACACAACATTAAACTTAAGATTAGAAAGGAGCACAAATGCATATTCCGATCTATATATTTCTATAAGGAAATGGCTTTGGAAATTACGTATTCAACGGAATGCATATTCAAGGAAAATTAATTATATATAAATAAAATTATATTTAACGTCGTAAATGTACAAACTGATGGGAAAACCAAAACAGGTCGCAAAGAGCCTTCAAAAAAATACATGAAAAATTTAAATTCGAATGTGTGAAACTTATGTGCCATCAAAAAATACAAATGAAGAAAAATGTAACATAAGCTAAAACATTTTTAAAAACAAGCTGAAAATGAATCATAAATGTTTGCCACACTACAAAAGAATATAAATATTAAAAAATATTAAATTTAAATATATACTAATTGAATTTTAAATTAACAACGTTGTGATTTATATTGTTTATTCAATGCATGGTTCAATGTCAAAATACTTAATTCTTGTGTATTAAATAAATAAAAAGAAAAGTGCTAGGTAAATAAAAAAAATGATGTTCCACATATGAATGTATGTATTCAAGCGTAGCATGTACATACAATACATTAACAAATTATTTATTGATGTTGCTTATGGACAGTTTTTCTTCCATACATATAAACAATTATACATATACATATTTGGATTGTGTAAAATTCAGAATTGAAACATTTGGATAAATGTATTTATTGATGCATTCTTAGCTAGCTAAAAATTATTTGTAGCTAAACGAGAGAGTATTACAAAATTTATTATATTAGTCAAAAATGCTCAAAAACAGAAAAAGAAAAAATACAAATAAGAAAACTTGCAGATTTTTATAGGTGTTATATTGCAGTTGTTTTTTCTTGTGTGTGCGATCATATTCAACTCAGCTTAATTACAGTATTAATGTTTTTTCCATGTTTTAAATGTGCACATTAGGCAAAAGTACGATTACGATTACATTTCAAGGCTAACAAATAAGATCTCTCAATTCTCATCTCTAATTTCGAAGACTGTCCCTGTATTAATCTTAAGCATTTCTAAAAAGAGTTTTAAGAGCGTATTTAGTTCTATCTATTTCTATAGAATAGTCCCCCCCCCCCCCCCCCCCCCCCCCCCCCTCACCCTTCAGCATATACGTATATGTTTACTAACTTACTTGAACTTGCAGCTGTATCAGTTTTTTCTATCAACGACTCTTATACGATACATATATACCTAGATCTAAGTTTTTATTTGTGTCAATATATATTAAAAAAAAGGATATATATATATTTAAATATATATATAAATATAAAAGGATAATAATGGTATGCAAATTTGGCAGCAAACAATTTTTGAACAAATAAAACAGAAAAATTTCAAATTTAGCCGTGTCTTTCACTATGGCCATATAAATTACCGCCACATACATTTCAATCAAGCATATCTATGCCATATAAAGCGCCGTCCATATTGCAGCTATATGACCAACGAAATGCAGCGCGCTAATAAAAAGCGCTATAAAATTGAAAATAATAGCCAGAGCAAAGCTGAAGACGACGACCAGAGCTCCACATCGACAATATATGCCGGCACTCAAAACTAATGAAATGTTCCAAACTCAAAACGATGCTGCACTCGGTGGCAGCCACATGCGCTCGAAAGTCGCCCGACTAGCGTACCCAGCGCCAGCTCCCGATCCCACTGCCGTTCCCCCTGCCTATGCCCCTGCCCCTGCCTCAGCCACTGACATTGCCAGCGTCGACTGCGCAGCCATCGGCCGGCAGCGACAGGCGCATGTCGAGCCTGAAATTCTTCAGTTTTACTTAGGCCGGAAAAGACGAGCAGCCGACGCAACATCGCGACGTTACCTGGCCAAAGTTATGAGCGCAATTCTATCGTAAAAATGCCCGAGAAATGAAAGCATTTTCATTCCATTACGCATCCCAGATACCCTAACCAATTCAGAGCTTAAATTTTGGAATCTGCAAGCCCAACAAGAAACTTTTTTGATTCGGCTTACGGTTCGAATCCACGCCTGTAGTATAAGCCCAGGTTTTGGTTTTAGCCTTAGTTCTCACATTTCTTAAATTTGTCAGAATTAATTTGATCATAAATTAAATTTGTTATTTGCTAATCCGCCTTAAAGTTCGGTTAATGTGGATAAGAAATTGAAAAGCTGTCAATTCTTGATTGACTTAATTAAAATAAAATATAATTTCAGTTCTAGAAAGTTAGTTTAGCTGAAGAGCCCAATTACCTAGATTTCTATGTGTATGTCACCTTACTGGAACTAACATAAATATTTACTGTACTAATCTTTTTTATGACTTTAAGTTTAAGTAATACATTTTATAAGCTCTACAGTTATATTTGCTAAAGTTTTGTTTTCCCCAATTTCTTCATATAATATTGATGATACTTTTAATTATGTTCATGCTTTCGAATACAGATCTAGAATACAGAAACTGATGATTCATATCTTTCATATCTTATAGGCTTGATGCCTTTATCATTCTACTATACTTTCGCATCTGATACGTAAACTGACCTGTAATATTTGTTCTCAACATTCCTTAACATGCGCCAAATGTAGGCCATGCCAATGAACCCCCAATATAAGTAGGATATAAGGATACTTAAAAGTAAACATACCTTTTGCAAGTGTATTAAAATGCAAAATGCTTTCGCGGCAGCTTCCTCGGCCTGGTCAAGCCTAGCCTGGCCTGGCCTGGCCTGCCACAGTTAAGGTTCGCCTTGGCTGCAAACTAGAAATTCTTGTCTGCGCTGCAATCATCGCTGGGCGGGCATAGAGAGGAGGAGATGTAGCTGTAGCTGAAGCTGTAACTGCAGCTCAAGCTGGCGCTGGAGATGGAGCAGTGTTTGTGATTTGTGTGCTTGCGGTACAATTTGAGCCGCGAGCTGTGGCTACCAATGGCCAGTTACCCAGTTTGGTCGCTTATGACAGGCGCAAACAAAATTATTTGAGACGGGAGCTCCTTGAGCAGTAATCCTCGAGTGGAACAGGTGATGAACCGCGTGGATGTCGCCTTAAGTGCGCCAATTTGACTTGTTTAGGTGTCCAGATGGCATGCCGCAGATATGGACGCAAATTGATTTCTATTCGATAAGCAGCGACAATTTTTAAACTTGTCGTTCGGTAGCGCCAATATATGACCAACTGCCGCGATCTCTTATCGCACCCAAAATGCCGTCCAATCCGCGTGAAAAGACTTTCCAGCATTTAACGTGCACAGCCACCCAGCCCAGAGGAGTCACCCAACGCCTGCGCCCATATCACCAGGCGAGGTGTCGCCAGTCACTGCCAACTGATGATGAG